AAAAAAAAAAAAAAAAAAAAAAAAAAAAAAAAAGCAAAGGTTTCTTATTACTGACAGAGGAAGGCCACACTCTTCAGCTGGGTATCCACAGCTCTCCACATGCTGGAACCAACTGCTTCTTAAGCCTCTGATCACAGCCTCCCCAGACCACCCCCAAGCCCCTCGCAACTCTCATGCCCTGCCTGCCCTCACCCTGCGGCGTGGCTTGTAGAGGCCTCCGCAGAGCAGATGGTGCATCACAGCGTCCTCACGGTCTCGGCCACTGCGTACGGTGTCAATCACCTGCAGATCCAGACACGCTCCGCTGCCACTCTCCCTCCTGCAGGAGGCGGGGGACACATGTGCTGGGGAAGGGACAGGAGGCACAGGCCAGGGGAAGGGCAGAGACAGAGGCACTGATGAATCTTCCCCAGAAGAGATTTGGAAAGAGGACCCAATGGAGAGGAGCTGGAGGAAGGGGAAGGGGCTCAAGGACTCACAGCAGGTTGGTGACAGAGGTCTCTGCCACAGAATTGCGGCTAGGCATAGAGGGCAGAGTGAGGCCTGTGGAAGACAAGACGTGGCCTCCCTGCAGGGGTCAAGACCAAGGTCAGATGGCAGTCAGATGGAGGGTAGCCCAGATAATCAGAGGATAATAAAGAGAATAACAATAGTTAACACGTATTTTTCAAGGGTTCGGATCCCTGTACTGGCCGGCCATTAAAAACAAACAAAAAACACTTATTTTACTCTTTTGATATGACAGGTACTATGCTAGGCAATTATTGAATATGTGCTAGGCATACTGAATCCACACAAAAGCTGTGACATAGATACTCTGGTTCCTCCTTTTTTTGTGTGTGCAGCTGACTGGTAGGGATCTGAACCCTTGGCCTTTGTGTTGTAACACTGCGCTGTAACCAGCTGAGTTAACTGGCCAGCCCCTATTCCTGCTTTCCTACGGCTGAGGAAATGAGGCTCAGAGTATAAGTGACTTACCCAAGGTCACAAGCTGGGCACTGATAACAACTGAACCACATCTGATGACTCCAGAATCCAGTTGTTTCCCACGTTTCTGTGCTGCCTGCCAGACTCTGAATGTCAGCACCAGGCCAGGCTGATTCCTGCAGCTGCCACTTCACAAGACCATTGAGCCAGCTGGGAATTCCCAATCCCTGCTTCCTGATAACAAGCCTGCCTGCCTGGTGTCCCTTTCTGTCCTGCTCTGCTGGCCACCTGCCCACCCACCACTGGCCCACCTCATAGCTGCTAATCCACCTGGTCCACGAAGCTGATGGCATCCCGGATGTTGAGTCTGTAGTATACATCCCAGATCTGGTCGCGGATGCGGTAGGCTGACCGCCGCATCAGCAGCTGACTCAGGTACTTCTTGTCAAACTGCTCCCACCTACAGAGGATGCCAGGCCCTGAGTACCATCCCGGAGGCCTGGCTGGCTGGCCCTTCCTCAGACAGGGCAGGGATACCACCAGCACTGTCCTGGCTTTCTTGGTATGGGCCTCAGCCAGGGAGACTCTCAAGGCTAGTCCCTGCCCTTTGGAATTTACAGTGTTACGGGAAAGCCCAACATTAACTGAAGTTATTACAAATCATAAAATTGCAATCATGACAAGAACAACAAAGGATAATTATAGAATGTGATAGGGATTTGTCCCAGTCAGGGAATTGATGTCTCTGGTGAGATCTGAAGATTGGACAGCAGTTAAGTGAGAGGGAGGTGAGGAAGTGTTCTAGTAGAGAGAACAACATGTGCAAAGGTCCCAGTAGCCAGGCTGGGGGAGCATGGTGGACCCCACGGCTCTCAAACAGGGTCCCTGTAATTAGCTGGCAGATGGTCAAAGATAGAGCAAAGCACAGTGAGGCTGGAGTCCAGCAGGTGCCAGACCATGCAGGGCCGAGCAGGCCAGACTGGGGAGCTTTATCATATTCTGAGAGCACTGGGATGCCACTGAAGGGCTTCAGGCAGAGGTCACCCAGCCTCAACCTGGCTAGGTCCCTTCTCAGAAGTGTGGCACATCCCCCATGCTGCCCTGGCTGGTGGGGCTGCTGCTTCTGAAGGAGCCTCGGGGCAGCTCCCTCACCTGTCCCTCCAGTAGTGGTAGCCATGGTGCCCCACAACGTCCTCCACTGCAGCCAGAATGTGGTCAAAAGTCTAGAAGGGGGATGGGTAGGGGTACTGGATCAGGATTCTGCCCAAAATAGGAGAAGGGAGAGAGGGACAGGTGGAGGGATGGGGTTCTGGTACCCACGTGCTCATGCAGCTCCTGGTTCAGGGTGGGTTTGTGATGCTCACTCCTCTTCACCTTCAGCCACTTGACCAGCGGCTTGATGGTCAAGCCCTACAGACAGGCAGGAGGTTCCTGCTGTTCCTCGTATTCAGTTCCCTGCTGCCTTTCTCTCCCCATAGTTAAGCCTCAGCTTCTGTAGCCCCACCGCACTGTACTCAAGGTCTGGAAAGTCAGGTCCCTGCATCGCCCAACGGGAAGAGGTGCCTCTGTCCCATAGGCTTCGAGACTCTCCCAGGGTCCACTGGACCCTCTCCCCACCCAGCCTCATGGGCACTCCTACCTGCACGATGACTGTGAAGAAGACTACTACAATAGTGGTGGCCACAAAGTAGTCCTTGGCAGGAACCTTCATCCTATCCAGGAGGATGACGAGAGCAAAGGCCACAGCCCCCCGCAGGCCCCCATAGGACATCACCACCTGGTCAATCTTGTCCAGACGGACTAGCCGGAACTGATTCAGCACCCACGTCTGCAGGACTACGCCTACAGCAGGAGGGAGGCCAGTGGGAGCAAGGCGTTGGGAGTGGAGGACACCGGGAGTGGATGGCACCAAGTATCCCAGGTCTAACAGGGGCTGGGAGAGGTAAGCAACAGGGGAGGCTTAGGAATTGACAAGGATGTGGACTTGGATGGGGGAATGAGCTGCGGGGAGGGAGGGGACATGAAGGACAGTGGGAAAGCAGAGGGTGCCGGGAATACCGAGGGCTCGGAAGAACAGGATGAAGAAGAGGGTGCCCAGCACCAGCCCAGAGTCCCAGGCCCACTTAGAAGAATCCACAGCTGAGATTCCAAGCAGCATGAATATGATGGTCTCAGCGCAGCTGGCTAAGGTCTTCATTGTGTATTTGACAGCTGTGCGTGACTTGTGGGAGATGTTGGCCTCCACATACTTCTTACAGCCCAGGCCACACATGGTCACCCTGGGAGAGGAAGGGAGAGACAGGTTCCAAGGAGCTCAGCCTCTGGGGTTGGAGTATGCTGCTGGAGGGAGGGGGAGTTGCCCAGCGCAGCATGTCAGTCTCTCAGAGCCGAAGCCCAGAGAGGTATGAAGATTGCTAGTTAGTGGTGGTCCTGGAATAAAGGTCCAAATCTCCAGGCTTCCCACTCAGTGCCTTCTGGAGGAAGGTGGAAGAAACATGCTCTGACTAGCAGACTCTCTGAGGCACCTTTTGGAGTGCTGTGGTCACCAAAGCTGGTGGCCCCAGACCTTGAAGTCTACTTCCAGCTCAGCTCCCACCCCAGAGAGAACTTAAGGCAGAGGAGGATTGGGGTCTGGGGAGCCCAGGACAGTTCTGGAGGCAGCTCCTGGAATATTATTTGAGGTTTACTGCTGCCCCAGCAGAGTCTGATGTTTCCACTACCACAACAGCTCAGGGAAACCTATGGACTCTTCAGGGTCCTGCCTCTGTCCATATGAGGGGCAACCATCTCCAGTGCCCCCTCCCAGCTGCCTGCCTGCAGGCCCCCAGGACTCACGCAAGAATGGCAGAGAGTGAGGCCATTTCAGCAGTGAGGTAGGCTGCATAGGCGAGGAGGAAGACCAGCAGCGGCTCGATGATGCGGACCCGCTTGGTGAAGCGTGTAGTCAGGGCCAGGAGGAAGGCAAAGACTAAGCCCACGGCTGCCCCGCCCAGACTGACCACAAACAGGGAGGCTGGGGGAGGAGTGGGTTGTCAGCATGATCCCTGGCCTGGACCCTACCCGGGCTGACAAGACTGCTACCTGGCAGGGAGTGAAGGATGGTGCCCACTGCAATCCCCAGGGCTCCAGATCCTAGAGCCAGGATCCAGGGCAAGCCCCTCCCAGATCCCATTTTCCATAGACTAGGGGAGGAAATGAGGCAACCCAATGCTCATCTGTCCTGATGTGGGGCAGGAGGGATTTGGCACCCCGGGGGAGGCAGACCTCCAATGGCAGCTGAAAGGGAGGAAATACTGACCGACTCCCTTCAGATAGTCAGTGGCCCGCACGTTGGCAGAGCCCATCTCCACAAAGGAGTTGCAGACCTTGTACAGCACCTGAGTGAGAAGAAGAGCGTCAGGAGCAATGGGGGAGGCAGCAACTGGCACTGCTGGGGAGGGTAAAAGCTCAGACCATATTTCTTCTCCAGGGAAGCCAGGGGATACAGCACGGCAGCCGGGGGTCCGGGATAGCAGCCATCAGAGCACTCTCACCACAGTGACTGCATCATTGAGCAGGGACTCGCCAAAGACGATAATGAAGAGAGTCTCGTTGACGTGCACCTCCTCAAAGACAGCCAGCACAGCCACGGGGTCAACCGCTGAGATGAGGCTCCCGAACAGCAGGAAGTCCAGCAAGCCAGCCTGCACCTTAGGGGCTTGCAAAGGAGAGATGGAAGACAGGTCAGTAATTGGTGAGGACGACCAAGTCTCCCATAGCATTCCCGGGGACAAGCCTGGACTCCACCCCCACTGATAAAACAAAGAAGCTGGAAAAGGACCTGGAATGGTGAAGAGAGCATTGACCTCCTCATTTCCTGCCCCAAGAAAGTCAGGAGACTTGAGCCAAGCTGCCTATGCCTAAAGCCTGGCTTTGCCAGTTACCAGTTGTGTGATGTTGGCTGTGCCATTGTCACATGACTTCTCTTAGCCATACCTCCTCGTCTGCCTACCTCAAAAGACTGCTGCCAAAATCAACCCATGAGATGGCTAAGAAAGCTCTATGTACCCTGAAAAGCTAAGGTGACGCTAGCAATAAAACCTGCAGCAACAGTCAAGGGTTGAGGGCCAGCCCGTGGCTCACTCGGGAGAGTGCGGTGCTGATAACACCAAGGCCACGGGTTCGGATCCTACATAGGGATGGCCGGTTGGCTCACTTGAGAGAGCGTGGTGCTGACAACACCAAGCCAAGGGTTGAGATCCCCTTACTGGTCATCTTTAGAAAAAAAAACAAAAAGGGCCGGCCTGTGGCTCACTCGGGAGAGTACGGTGCTCATAACACCAAGGCCACGGGTTCGGATCCCATATAGGGATGGCCGGTTTGCTCACTGGCTGAGCCTGGTGCTGACAACACCAAGTCAAGGGTTAAGATCCCCTTACCGGTCATCTTTTAAAAACAAACAAACAAACAAACAAAAAAAAAACAGTCAATGGTTCAGATCCCCATACTGGTCAGTGACCAAAACAAAACAGAAACAAACTGCAGCAACAGTAACAATAACTATCAGCAAGTGAAAATTGGCTCTCTGGCTGGGAGAATAACAAAAAGAGAACGCTTTCTCCCAAGACCTGTGATTCTCAGCCAAAAGGGTTAACACTCACAATTCTCAGCAAGGGAGAAGGGCCGAATATAATATGAAAAGCACCACAAGTGGGACATAAACATGTGTAATCTCCGTGAGCCTCCCCATGTATAAATTGAGAATAATAACATCTACCTCAAAAAGTTCTTTAACACTTTTTCATAATACTATGTATTAGCCAGTGCCTAATACATAGTAAGCACCCAGTAGATATTACCTTTATTAGGATTACTACTATTATTATGATCTGATGTTCTCTCTCCCCTACCTGCCCCCAGTAGTTTGCTATCTCATTAGGAAAACCAGGTTGGAGTCCCCACGTGGGAATTGCAAACCTCTCCTTGAACCTTGAAAGGAGTCTGAATTATCAACATTCAGGGTTGAATGGATTTCTTGGGGCAGGAAATGAAGAAGAAGGTAGCAGGAGAGGGCAGCCTAAAGGAAAGGAGACTCAGTGAAATGGACCTCTCCTGCTAACCTTGGACCTGATATCAAACAAATTTAAGGGGCTCTATTTCCTCATCCATTCAATGGGACAAATTATACCCCAACAGGGTTGCTATGAAGAGTCAGTGGGATAAGTAAGGAAAGAACACCTACTGTAGTGCCTGCCATTTTGTGGATGTATAATATGTATTTATTAAAAATAATAATAAAAACAGGGGACCACCCTGACATGGCCTGGGCAGAGCCAGGGCAGTAGGCCCTTGCAGGAATGGTGAGCTGTGCCTCAGGGGAGCAGGGCTGGCAAGTGGCAGTTTGGTAACAGAGAGCAAGAGGCAACAGAGTGGTAACATAGGCTCCCCAGCTTGGCAGCCCACACACAGCTGGGAGCCAGGCCCCTGCTCAGCTGTCATGGTGCAGAAGCCCAGACTTGACTGGCAGAGACCTAAGTGAGGGCTGACACTCATCGGGAGTGTTGCCTTGCACTCAAGGTGGGAGGGACTTAGACAGAGCTCCCAGGGCATGGCTGTCACCAGCATGGGACCTCCAGAGAGGAGTGGGGTGATGGGTCTAGCAAAGCCTCCCTCTGCCAGCCCAGGTCTTAGGGTCACTCACCCACAAGTCCAGCCTGCTGCAGACCCCAGAGGGCAGCGCCTGTTGTGAAGGCATTCCAGAGTGTGCCCACCACGGCATAGGTGAGGATGGCACCCAAGTTGTCAAAGAACAGTCGGCTAGGCATGAAATAGCCTGAGTCCAGCACAATAGGAGGCAGCAGGAAGAGGAAGAATGTGCCTGGCTCCAGCTGGTACTCAGCTTTCTTGGCCACAGCCAAGACAATGCCCCCTAGCACCAGGCCCAGCAAAATCAGCAGGCAGCTCTCAGGTACCAGAGATGTTACCTTCCGAGACAGGTGAAACACTACAATGTAAGAAGAGGACAGGAGGTATGAGGGTATAGAACACCCTCCTACATACCAGCCTATAACCTCCCACTCTTAGAAGATTACCCGAGGTCAGGACCCCTGACCCCGGGGCCAAGAGTGGAGAAAATAAATTCAAGACTTCTGGAATCTCCATCCTGGGCTACAAATCCTAGCTGCAGCCAAAGTTGTCTATTTCTTGGTACTCCTGTCTGTCAAGCCATGGTAACCTAGACCTTTGCTTGCTTTTTCCCTTTCTGGAAATGCCCCCTCCTCTCTACTCTCATTTTCAGGGAACCTCTCATTTCTACGATCTCCCTTATCCATAGCCATTATTTGAACCTGAGAAAATGCTACCTCGTATCTTCATAACATAAGATGTAAAAATCAGGGCCTCTGCAGCCAGGCTGCTTGGGTTCCAAACCTAGGTCCGCTTACTTGGTTAGAGCATTGTGCTGATAACACCAAAGTCCAGGGTTCAATCCCAGTACCAACCAGCAAAAAACAATAACAACAAAACAGGCCTAGCCAGTTAGCTCAGTTGGTCAGAGTGCAGTGTTATAACACCAAGGTCAAGGGTTCAGATCCTTTTACTAGCCAGCCACCAAACAAACAAACAAACAAACAAACAACAACAAAAACAAAGCTTAGGTCCTCCATTTACTAGTTCTGTAACCTTGGGGAAAATAACTTCACCTCTCTGACCCTCAGTTCCAATCAGCAAAATTGGAATAAAAACAATGATCTCATAGGATTGTTGTGAGGATTAAATAAGACAACCTACTCAAAAGCACTCCACACACTGCTTTATAGTAAGCTCTCAATGAACATTACCTATATAATGTTCTTGTGTCCAGTCTCCCTAACCAAACCATAATGTATTTTATACCTCCTAGGAGCATTGTAGACATGCTAGCCCAATATGCTTTTCATTATATGGGCTCACTAAGGACTCAGTTGTTTTAAAAGCTTTGGGTTTAGCAGTCAGAAGATCTCCAGGTCTTCTTCTGGCCTTATCACTTTCTAACAATGTGATCTCAGGCAAATTATTTAATTTATGGGAACTTCAATTTCTTCTCCTGTAATATGGGAAAAATATCTGTCATATAAAGGGTGAGGATAAAACGATATAAAATATGCCTAGCATGATGTCAGACACATAGCGGGTTTGCAAGAAATGTTAATTAAATATTTTCCTTTGAAGGAAAAAAATGACAGATCTGTCTAGGAAAAGAGGAGCAGAAAATGAGCAGGAGGAAGCTGCACCCAAAGGGCCTAGGACAGTCCCTGGCACATAGCAGTTTTTTTTTTTAAAGCTGACTGGTAAGTGGATCTTAACCCTTGGCTTGGTGTTGCTCAACCAGTGAGCTAACCGGTCATCCCTTTACAGGATCTGAACCTGTGGCCTTGGTGTTATCAGCACCGCACACTCCCAAGTGAGCCACAGGCCGGCCCGCACATAGCGGTTTCTACATGAATATCTGTTGAATAAAAGGGAAAAAACCGTCTAGCAAGGAAGCTGGGGAAAGGTGTTCATGAACATTCTGCCTATCTTTCCCCTCCTCTGTAAGGATTTTTTTTTTTTTTTTGGCTGTTGAGAAAGAGGCTTTCTTTTCCTACCTCCATAGGAGGTGTCATCCAAACTAGAAAAATCTATGATTTATAGGCAAAACTACAGCTGTTGCAATAAACCCTAAGTAAGATATGAACTTTCCTGCAACTCACAGACTTCTTAGCAAACTCAGTTCTTGGCTCCAAATCTGAGGCTCCTCCCACCTTGCTCTCATTGCTTCTGGCCCTCTAGGGTAAGCTCAGTCATAGGTCTCCCCACACTCATCCCTACCTTTGGTCCCCCTCTCCTCTCCTTCAGGGACCCTATTTCATCTTCAGATCCTCAGCATGCACCAACCCCAGCCCTGCAATCCAAGACCCATCACAAAAGCCTGTTCTCTGGCAGAACCAGGCTCCCTGAAGGCATTTTGAGTCCCACTTTCCATTATTAATCTTGTGCTGCCACTGCAGAATGGAGAGTTCTGCTGTTCCTGCCCAGCTCCCCAGCAGTGTCCCTGGGGGAGAAGGGGGGCAAATTCTAGGCTGTGCGATTCCTACATGAAGGCTGTACTGGTGAGATTGGAGTACAGGCTGTGCCAGCATGGATAGGTAGTGAGTAGCAACGCTCAGCTATAATTAGTCACCCCCACAGCAGAGCCTGCACAACAGGGAGGAGGAGGGTCTCTGGTGGGAGGAGGGACCACTGACTACTCAGAAGGGAGGAGGAGGAAGGGGCAGAAGCAGGGAAAAGAAGCTCTATTCAGGCGGGGAAAAAAAGATTATGAAGCACAACCTTCAATGTTGTAAAAACTGAAGGAGGTCGGATGTATGAAAGCATCTAGGTTAGACAGCACACAGTAAGGCCCTAATAATGGAAATGTATTATACCCTGGAGTGGGAAGAATGTGGTCCTGAATGGGAGGGGGGGTTCCCACACCTAGGCACAAGAAGGCAGTATCCTGAAGTGGGAAGCAGAGGAGAGCGAGAGGAAAAGTTGCATTTTCGTATCCCAAGAGAATGGACATCTGGACATGGCCTTTGGGAAGACCGTTTCTTCAGGTCCAGGATTCCTGAGTTCGCTAGAGAATACCATCCCCTCAATGTCCCACACGTCCTCAAAGGCTGACAGGTTTCTGGCAGGCTGGGGAATGGTGGAGGAGAGGCCAGACTAAGCAGGGCTTACTGCAAGCGGAAGCGGGGAGTAGAGAGGGCAAAGGAGCCTAAAGATGGAGCTGGAGGGGGAAGCCCTTCAGTCGGGCAAATCCTCAGAGCTCCCATGGGAGTACAAGGGGAGGGGAGAGACCCACAAGAGGCGGCGCAGGAACTAGGTGAGAGCCCGGATTTGTGAAATCGGAACCTAAGTCACAGCACTATGCAAGAAGCCAGCCCGGATCTGGGGACCGGGGGGTTGGGGCGGGCCGCTGCCGCCCGCCAGCAGGACGCACGCACACACGCACTCACCGATTTTGGCCAGGCTGGCCACCAGGATCCACAGAGCCACCAGGTAGGGCGCCTCCACCTCGTGCCACTGCCAGCGGAAGAGCTCCAAGCCTGGGGGAGGCTCGCCCGGCAACCCCGGGTCCTGGGTGGGCTCTTCGACCGCGCCCGCCCCCGCCAGGAGCAGTCCGAGCAGGGGCAGTGCGGCGCGCAGCATCCTGCAGCCTGCCTAGCCGCACTCCAGGCACCGTACGGCCGCCCGCCCCGCGTCGCCGCCGCTGCCTACCGGGCGCCCTCGCGTCAGAGGCACGTGGGGCCTGCTCCCCCCAATCCCGGCTCCGATAACCCCAAGCCAGGTCCGGACTCCGAGACCCTGCCCCGGACGCCTGTAGTCGGGACCCCCTCCTCCATCCCCTCTAATCAGCCCCAGCTCCGGAAATTCCTCAGTGCAGTCCTCCCCCAAGTCCCGAAACCTACTCCTATGAGTCGCTCCCCTAAACCTTCCCCAAACCGCCCCCACCCGGATTCAGAGAGGTGGGCGGCCGCGGCCCTCCAGGGGCAGCCCGCCGCGGGAGGGCTGGGGTCCGCAAGGGGCGGGGCTCGGGCGTGAGGGG